ACACTAATACACCAAACAAAACACATAAAACGAATAATAAAAGAAGATCACACCACAAAATTATAACAAACAATAAATATAAATAAATAGTCAATAGCATGTATAGGTAACAGAAAGAAAGATCAAGACTTACTACCCTCACATGATTCAAAATTTCCGTTTATATACGGTAATTGTTCCAATTCTCGGTACCCTTAACGACGATCGTTGTATTGTTACCGTAGCTGCTTTCGCCGTTCGCTTCCTGGTAACAAGTTTCGGTTGGGTTTCACTGCTTAATGTTTTTCTGAGAATGTTAACCGATAACCGTACTGTTTCAGTTCTTATTGTTAGATTTATAATAATTTTGGTTTATGTACATTCTCAGGATTTTGATTATGAACTAGCCGCTACAGTACCCCCTCGCTAGTGATTAACGTTAAGGATTTCCTGCTTGGTAGCGGTCGGTGAACCTTATCCTTCGGCCTGATCGGGTTGTTGCTGAACCGCCTTGGTTGGGCTGTTGAGGCGATGCTGAAGTTTGTGTTATCACCGTATTATCACGATTGCCCGGCAGGATATAGGCTGGTTTCACCCTATCCACAGAAATAACTACATCTTTTCCTTTGATGTGTACCGTGAGAGTTTTCGCTGTTCTTTTAACTACCGGAAATGGTCCTTCGTATGGCGCCTGCAGTGATTGTTTTGGGCCATCGTTGCGTACAAAGACTTGTTTTGCTGTAACCAGATCTTTAAATACGAATATGTTTCTACGGCCATGGTGCGTACCTGGTACTGGCTGTAATTCTTGAAAATCTTGACGGAGTTGTCTAATGTCAGCATCAAAATCTTCCATGTCGTCGTTGGTCCTTGGTGTTAAAAACTCCCCTGGCAGTCGTAGTGGTTGTCCATAGGTTAGATCGGCAGATATACTATCAATAACTTCCTTCCATGCGGCTCTGATTCCCAGCAAAACGGTAGGAAGTACTTCGGTCCAACGCTCGCTGCTGTGACACTTGATTGCCGCTTTAAGTTGTCTATGGAGTCTTCCTACCATACCATTCGCTTGGGGATGATATGCGGTGGTGTGATCATAAATTTTTGTAGGTGTTGAAACCTTAACATCCAAATCTGACAATGTATCTTTCACAACTTACACACTCTGATAACGCTACATATTCAGCAGATGTTGAAGATTTTGTTACGCTATTCTGTTTTTTAGATTTCCAAAATATTATATTATTATACATTTTTAACACATAACCAGTCGTAGATTTTCAATAGGCATCTACATAACAACTTAGAGTATCAGAATTAACATTTTTATTATAAGTCAACTTCAAATCATTGGTCAGCAATAGATACTTAAGTACTCTTAACGCATATTTATAATGCGTATTGTCATAACAGTTCTGGAATCGACTTCGATAGTTTACACTAAAGCTTATGTTAGGTCTTGTACCTGAACTAATATATAGTAACGTACCAATCAAATTTCTATATTTAATCTCTTCTCTCACTACTTTTGTAGGTAACAATTTTAAATTTAGCTCCATCGGAGTTGCATACAATTTAGTGTTTCCAAGACTATATGTCTAGCAACAACAATTTTATTATTTATCAAGACTCTATAACCAACATTTTCATAACCTAACAACACACCCAGATCTGCTTTTTTATCCCATTTTGAATGTCTCTTTTGTTCAGGTACTCTTACAAAAACCCTACTACCATACAGTTTTAAATGTTCTACACTGGGTTTCTCACCAAACATTATTTCGTAAGGAGTTTTATTTTTGACAATAGTATTCGTTATAATTCTATTCTTTAAATAAGCCGCTGTCTTAACAATTTCTGGCCAAAAACACTTGTGTACCTTTGCTTCTGCTAACAAACATCTAGACATATCCATTATATCTCTATTATATTTTTCTGCTGTCCCATTTAGCTCATGAACATATGGCGGACAAGGTTCTATTTCAATATCTTTTTCACACGCAAATTTAGACATTTAGACATATATTCCTTACCATTATCACAGCGCAATTTCTTTATATTTTTACCAGTCATATTTTCAATTGAATTTATATATTCGACAAAACAGTTATAGACTTCACTCTTAGATTTAATTACATGAACCTGAGCCGCTTTACTAAAATCATCAATGAAAGTCAAAAAACATCGTTCCTCATTCAATCCAGGAGTACTATGAGGACCATTCAGATCTGTGTGAACAATTTCTAATATATCACTTGCCCTAGTTCTTCCATTTTTAAATGGCAAATTATGCATTTTATTTTCTAAACATATACCACACTTAAAATAATCAGACTCTAACTCTTTAGGCAGACCTTTTAATACTTGTTTATCACACATAGTTTTCAAATAGTTATAATTTATATGACCTAGTGTTATGTGATATTTTTCTCTCTCAGTCATTCATTGAGTTCAATTTATTTTTGTAAAGTGCAATTTCACGTATCTCTGAGTTCATCATTACTCTTGCTAGTTGCTGATGTTTGCACAAACGCTCACTTTTTAAATCTACACATTGTTGAAATTCACTTTCACTTACACTAACGAAAAGCTGCTTAGATTTGTCGATGGCCAGGTAAGTGACTGATGGTTGAATGAAGATGAATGATCCTGAAGCATTAAATGGTAAGGGATGCAATTTAAAAACAGTGCATTCTTCGTCCTTCTCTAGTAGAACTTTTATAACCATGATTAGCTTGTGAAGAAGATGACTATTTTCCGTTGATAGAAAAACAGGATAGTGTAGTCGCGGGGAAAGGTAGGAAAGAGCTTTTTGATTACTGCGATTAACTGGTTAGGGCTAAGGATAGAAGGATGTATCTGACCCACTCTGGCTACAATAAGCGCATTTATCAAGTTCTGAATATCAATCTGATATTGGTTAATTATGGATGTTAAAATATTGACATGTTCTAAAAATTTAACTTCTATATCTATATTCGTCCTAACGTTTGAAACTTCAGAATACATTAATTTATAAGAATCTGCAAGTTCGTCAAGATTTTTCTGCACCAAGGCTTCGTTATGTACAACATTACTAATTGTTTGATTAATGGAATGAACGGTACCTTGAACTACGGATGTTTGTTTAACAAGTAAGTTATGCATTTTACGTTCATTTTCGGAAATTTCTGAAATGGTTTTGTCATAATACAAGGCATCATCCGCGTCAGGAGTTCCGAAAAGTATTTTCTCGGCTTTACCAATTATATCAAATAATCCACGTCTTTTCCGGAGAGGTAAATTATTAGATCCGACAAGATCTTGAACAAGAATAGTTTGAGCTTTTATTTTCTGTATGATTTCTCGAGTTACTGCTAAATATTGGCTGCAAGTAGAGGTGACGTAGTCTTTTAATTTATTGCACATAGAGATTGTTCTATCGTTAAAATTAACAAGTCTTTCGAAATTGTCAAGATATTGTTTAATATCTACATGTGTTATTAATTTCCACTCATTGCTATAGAACTGAACATTGGCCATTTTCTCAAAATAAATTCCAGGATTATGTTGGATTTGGGTTACTAAAAAGTTTTCTTCACAAAAGTGTAGAGGAAATATGGAGATTAAGAAAATAAGAATGAAAGGAAGGAACTTCATTATCTGAAACTATAAAAAATCTTATTTACTCAAAATAAGCTTTTAATCTATTAATGTGAACAATTGTTGAATGTTTTCCTCTTTTTATAGAATAATTTACATCTGATATTTTTGCAAGAATTTTGTATGGTCCTATCCAAGACGACGATAATTTTTTCGCTCGACCGCGCCTTACACTTTGATCATGCAAAAGAACTAAATCACCAACTTTGAAATCTTTAATTTTGCTGTCCCGATCATAATATTGTTTTGCCGTTACTTTCGATGTTATTAAATTATTTTTAGCACTGTTCCAGGCTAATTGCAATTTATGTTTTAAATTTTGTAAATAATCATCATAACTATATTGAGTGTCCGGTAATTTCTCTATAGAGCTGGGTATAATGGGCTTTCGACCGTACATTAGTTCGTATGGACTAAAGCTGGTAGAAGTATGAGGGGTTGAATTGTACATAAAAGTGTAATAATCTAGCCATTTATCCCAATCAGTTTGAGTACTGTTTATAAAGCTTTTTAGATATTCTGCTAATGTTCTATGTGACCTTTCAACTTGGCCATTTGATTGAGGATGATATGCAGTGGTTTGGATTTTATTTATCCTCAATAATTTACAAACACCTCTTAGAATTGTACTGCAAAAATTTGTTCCTTGATCTGAAACTAATGATTCAGGAGTTCCTAATTTGCAAATGATCTTACTAGTTAAATAGTGGGCTACTGTTTCAGCTTCTTGATCTGGCATTGCGACCGCTTCAGAGTATTTAGTAAGGTTATCTTGAAATGTAAGAATATATTTATTATTCTGATCTGTAATAGGAAGTGGTCCAACGATGTCTACGAAACATTTTTGTAAGGGACGAATAGCAGTGTCCGTAATGACTAAGGGGTTTTTATGCTTAATCGTGGTTTTATTCTTTTGACATTTGTCACATTTTCTAATATATTCTCGAACGTCACTTTTCATATTTGGCCAAGAATGGTATTGTTTTAATTTTTTGTATGTACGATTGTAACCGCTATGTCCGCCAATGGGAGTGTTATGAAATTCGTATAAAATTTTTTCTTTAATTTGCTCTGAATATTCTCGTTTCGGGTCATAAATCGTGATCTCAATTAGAGTATTTTTAAATATGAAACGCAACATCATACGAATATCTTCAAATGGTACACCTACTTTAAAAAATATTTCCTTAGGAATTACTAATGTCGCTATATTATTAATCAAACACTCGTCTTTAATTCTGTTTAGGTATTGCCAAAACTTTTCGATTTCTACAGAGTCGGTGTTATTGTTAACTAAAACAAGGTTGACTATTGTCTTAACGTGTGTTGATTTTAATATTATATCTCCTACTTCACAATTTTGTAACTCATTACCTAAATGAAAATTATACTGTGTTTGTAGTTCGTTTGTTATCTCATTAATGGGTATATTATCTTTTGAAACAAAATTAAGTACATGAGAAGAAGATGAATTGAAAATATTTCCGACTATTTCAATAACTCTGTGGTTCTGGATTAATTGAGCTTGTGTTAGTTCCTTAAATTCTTGGAAATCCAAATGTGTCTTTACACAGTTTACTTGATAAGGTATTCTGCTTAAAGCGTCCGCATTTACATTGATTTTACCTGCCTTATATACGATCTCATAATCGTACTCTTCTAATGCTAACCTAAATCTTATTAGTCTGCTACCGGGATCCTTTACACTGAAAAGCCAAACTAGAGGTTTATGATCTGTTATGATAATAAAACGTCTGCCAAAGAGATAAGGGCGGAAATGTTTAGTGGCCCAAACAATTGCTAAAAGCTCCTTTTCAGTGGTGCTGTAGTTCAGTTCTGCTTTATTTAAAGCGCGACTGCAATATGCAATAGGTAAATCGTCGCCTATTTTTCCTTGAGATAAAATTGCACCAATACCAGTGTTACAAGCATCTGTTGTTAATAAAAATTTTTCATTGAAGTTAGGAAATTGCAAGAGGGGTTGATTTGAAAGAATTTGTTTTAAATTTTGAAATGATTTGTTGCATAAATCGGACCATTGGAAAACAGAATCTTTTTTTAAAAGCTTTGTTAAGGGTAGTGTAATAAAACTATAATTATTAACAAAACGCCTATAGTATCCACAGAGACCAAGAAATGATTTTAATTGTTTAACATTTTGAGGTATAGGATAGTCTAAAATTACTTTTGTTTTTTCAGGATCAGGTAAAATTCCGTTGCTAGTTATTAAATGTCCTAAGTAACTTACTTCGCGTCTTAAAAATTCGCACTTAGCGGGCTGTAATTTAAGATTAGCAGAGCGAAGTCTCTCGAAAACTTCCTTTAATTTCTCATTATGATCTTTCAAATTAGAACCGTAAACGCAAATATCGTCTAAGTATATAAAACACTTTAAACCTTGTAGACCGCTTAAGATAC